TCTGTGCTTATTTTAATTTTGATAACACTATAAATGGTCGTGAAAACGCATCAAATTTAGCTTCTCTTGGCATTTTGCAGCCTGTGTTTCAATGTGCTGTCCATTGATGGACTTTGGATTGGAGCCCACACTCTCTTTATTCAAGATGTTTTATTTGTGTATAAACTGTCCAAAAATGCCTTTCCTGAATATTCAGAAAGAGCAGAAGTGCCCAGGTAAAATCATTGTTCTGCTGAAGTCTGTGGCAAAACTCACGTTGCCTTCAAACAGACCGAGATTTCGCCCCCGAAGAATGTAGAATATGCACATGAATATATATTCTCTCCTGCTGAAGTGTATAGGGTGATTTTTCTGACTGTCTGTGGGTATTCTGCAGAGCCTAGTTTTTATTTTTGTTTCTTGATATTCTGTTTGGTGCAGTCATTACAGATTAGCAGAAACCTTGGTTCTAATCCCATTCTTATTCACAAAGAACAAAGTCACAATTTTAATTGTATGTTTTAAATTTTTTCTTCATCTTCTGTGTTTTGAAATTCTACATTTCAAAAGCAGGATCACTATCATTTAGAACATTAAAGCATGTCTCTCGAACAGATTTTCCTTTTAATGTGGAAGAATGGAATTAAGGGGGGAAAAAAACCCAATCTGTCTTGAAGGGATTCTCTGTTATCTAACAGTTTTCATTGCAGCCAACAATGGGGAGTTCTGCGCTCAGTTGATTTGTGGTGTATGGGAATGTCATTTCTCTGTGTTGGGTAACTTGTTAGAATACAAAACATCACTTTCATAAATGTTATCACCAGCAAAGCCCATCTGGTCCTGCTAGTGACAAGGGGATGATTTTAGCTTTTATGATGTCAATGAGATTTTTGGCAGTCTTGGCTCAGTTGCCAAGCTGTGTGGGGGGGGAAAAAAAGTTAGACTATAATTGAAACTCTGTTGGGGGAAGAATTAACTGAATATCTTGCCAGTCTTATTTCTACCCATATTTCCTTCTATTAGTCTCCTGATGGTGTGTCCTTATGAAATCTGATTAGAATGAAATGACTTGATTTGTTAAACGGGCAGTGATGACAACGAACATCTGTTTTAGTGGTCCAGATTGTATTTAGCACATAGTAACATTGTTCTTTCTTGATATTATTTTGTACAGAGCAGCACAGAAGCTTAACCTGTCCTCAAAGAGAAAGAAGTACCACCCGCCCCTGCCACACTCCCATGACTTCTCTATCTATGCTACCAATTTTAGTGGCATACTGCAGTTATGTCCTCCCCCAGCACCACCATGCCTTCTGAGAGCTGTGTCAAAAATCAAGGACAACCCTGGCATTGGAAAGGTAATACAACATCTTCGTCTCTTGACAGTTTTCTAGATCACTTGAGAAGGGCTGTAAGCTTGCAACGTAGAGCAGGCTGCCGTGGAACGGTACAGGAATACAGAGCCTTGCACACCTGTTTAAATATGGCTTCGAATTGTTCTTATCTGACTTGGGAAGTGTCTCAGGTGACCCATGTAAATGTGTTTGGCATCTCAGTCCAGATTCCAGCGTCAGCTCCATAAAAGCCAGTTGATATTGCTGCTGGTGAGAGAGCAGATGGGCTGTCACATGGATCTCAAATCTAAAGCAAAGAGTGGCTGCTGTGGACAGGGTTACTACACTGGCCAGAGACCTCGCAGAGAAGCTTGAACCATTCTTGCTGGTACTGTATCTTTGCTGAGGATAAAAGGATTATATCCAAGAGGTCCTGATTTCCCTCCCACTTGCCTCATGTGGACATCTGCAGTTACTCTGCAGAAGTCAAATAAAAAAAAATAAAGTTAGGGAGAAGGCTTAATTGTAAATTTTGTGCTTAATCTTACTTAAAGTCAGTTAAAACTTAACCGAACTATTTCAAGCTTTATTCATATTTATCACCTTTTAATAGCAAGCTACAGCATCTGAATACTTATTTACAAAGGTTATAAGAGATGAACATTTCAAAATGGAACCGAAGTAGCTAATGTGCACAGGAGAGTTAAAATATGCACCGCAAGTAACCATACAAATCAACATTAACATAAAGAATTTGTCAGCCTAAATACCTTTAAATGACACACTGTTGTGCACTTTTCTGTTAAATCAGTGAGCTGAGGGAGATGAAGGTTCATGCTAGCATATTTATGCTAAATGGAAGGGAAGGGAGTCTTTGCCCTTTTGTGTGACAGGCTTTTTAAGAAGCTGGAAATGTACAAATGAAAATATGTTTCTGCCTGTGTTTTTCCGTACATTTGGAGTGAAGATCTCAGATGGATTTTTGATTACAATAGGCTCATGGTGAGTTTAGTAACCCTTAGCTGAAAGCCACTGCTGAGGGAAGGGGAGACTGAGTAAGAGACACTGTTTCCACATGACTGCTTGCAGTATGTCCTGCTTACTATATCTGCCCATTCTTCTTGTGAAAATTTAAGCCAGGTTTACATCAGTGCCAAGGAACAGGCTCTGCCCACTCTGCCATGTTTAGCAGTGCCATAGCAGTGAAGTTTGATGCCTGGGGAAAGGCCGCAGCGGCAGCCCACCCTTGCCCTACTCACGGATCCAGGGGGCACGTGCTCCCCCATGGTTGCATGGGAGTGCATGCAGTGGTGGGAGCTGCCCTTCCTCCGTCCCCGCACCCCCCCAAACAAGCCACTCGCAGCTCTCTTGTGTCCTGCCTCGGCTGGCCAGTGCCTGTTGGTGCCCCTTCGCTTTGGCGCCCGGGGCTCGCTCCCCTTTTCCTCTCCTTGCTACGGCACTGCTGATGCTTAGCATGTCTCACATCCCAGAAATGAAGCAGCCCAGAAATCAATCAGTTTGGAGTGCCCCTGGGTGTGCACCATGAAGCGTGCCTCAGCCAGAGCACTCAGGCTGCTTTAAACCAGCTATGTGACCTCCTTTGGGGGCTTTGGCATATGTTGAGTGGGAACGAGCGTGCTTGCTTCTCAGCAGTGGTCCTGGAGGCATTGCAGACCTTAGAGCTAAGTTGTGGCACATAGACCCATCACTGTATTACTGCTGGTGAGGACCTGCATGGTTTTTTGTGAAAGCACTGTGAAGCATTGTGCCTTAGAAAGGCACCATGCCCTTTTAGCTTGCAGGCACACAGGAGGAGCAGTTTCCACTCACCTTAAAGGACGTGATCACACATGCCTTCTAAAGCAATAGAATTTGCAGTTTTCTTCATTTTAGATCCCTTAGCTGATTGTAAAATCTATGCTCATGTATAAAGGGTGGCTTGTTTGTCTTAATGCTGATACTTATTGGCCAAAGGAAAAGATTAGCACGTGCGTGTATGTATTTTATATCACTGGACATTTCTACCTTGTTCCCCATAAAAGAATGATAATGAACAAGTGCCCTTTGCTGGCATTTATCCCATTGTGCTCATTACTCTTCCTTTATATTTTCCCCTTCACCTGCTACCACTCTGACTGGCTGATAGAGATACAGATAGATACAATTTCCTGGTGATGATGACAGTAATGGGAATAAATAACCACTTGTTTCTCCTTCATTGCTTTAAACACCATTGCAGTTAGCAAACAGAGCAAACAGCAGTAATTGGCAGATGCGTGTAACTTCACTGTTAACTTGAGTCCCATCTCCTTTTGTCACCATTGTACTTAACAGGATTCTTGCTCATCATTTTTCCTCCATTTTTTCTTGCTGTCTGGTCAATAATAACGGAGTCTGTTCACACATGGGACATGCTTGGCAGCCACAAGACCCAGAAACTGGACTCTGGGATATATTTTTCCCTACTGAAGCATCTGTGCTTGTGGCTGGCTCCCTCCTTGTTTTGTTCTTTTTATTGCTCTGGGGTCATCAGAGTATGTGGCTTCCTTGCTGATAGAAGTGTCTTTGGGTTAGAGAGTTGCTAAGTCAGCACTTTTCTTCCCAGCCTCCAGTTTAGTGGTGTTTTGTCTCATCTAGTTAGTCTTGACTGGAAGGTTTTTATTCCTCAAAGGTTTCTGCTCAAGCTCAGCGTGAGATGCATGTCAGAATGTAACCAAGGGTCTGTAGGACTCCTGTTGACCTCCGTAGGTCAGGAATAGCCTCTTTTAAACAAACAAACAAAAAACCAGAAAAGAAAACAGCCCTCGCTGTGCAATGAAGGTGAAATTCTGAGCTGGAAAATGGGACAGATTGATCCATGAGGAAATGAAGCGGGTTAAATCAGAGATGAATTTGGCTTATTGTAACTCTTGATTTGGCCTGGCTAAACCATCCCTTACCTTGTAATGACATCAGGTGGTCAGAGCCTTGATTTTATACCTCATCAATAACCTTATGCCACTTGTCACCCTTCTAAACTATTTTAGTACTAGCTTGCTACGTAAGTTCTGCAGACCCTGTGGTTTCTCTGTGGACTTATCCCCTACTATAGACCATGCCAGACATTGCCATAGTGCAGGGGTGTCAAACATGGCCTGCGGAGCTGCTGTATCTGGCCTACTGAGCTACTAGCAGGCCACTGGAAGTTGGGAGGCATGACCTGCCATGGGATTTGGGGCGCTTTGGTTCCGCTGACCGTGGCTGTTAGTGGTGAACTTGACTTGCCACTGCTGCCTCTGGACTCCTTCCTCAGACTCTCTGCCACCAGCAGACCTCTGTCCCCAGACCCTTGCTACCTTTGCTGCCGCTGCCATGGTGGCCAAGACAGCTACCCGGCTAGATCCAGCCTGTGAGGAGCCTTGCAGTCCAGATCTGGCCTGGGGCCCCAGGTAAGTTTGATACCCTTGCCATAATGATAAATTTTAGGCCAGTCCCCGTAGTAAGCTCAGTTATGCAGTTACCATGAGAGACTGAATTTTGAAGAAACATTTTATTACCTACAAAAGCAGATGTGCATCTGCGATGTAGAAGGCAGGAAGAATCAGCTGGGTACCAGGGTTGAAACTAAATTTATATTCTTTATTGAATCAGACCTGTAATGACTAAATAAGAGTCATTCATTGTATTTTCCTTAGTACTTTTTTCCTTCTGAGATTATAACTTAAAAAAAAAAAAGATAAAGGACAGAAAGAACTAAAGAAACATAGTACAGCTTGCAAGAATTTTCCCCCTGTGTATGTATCTCTAAATTACCTTGTCAGATGAAAGTGAGCCCTGTGATTGAGCTAGAGAAAGGTTAGCTCTTTAAACATCAAAACTGTAGAAGGCTGAAGCAATGCCATAAGGTAGTAACAGCTTACGTTAGCCTTTTTACTGACATTTCTAGAAAAGTACCTAGAGTGGCAAAGGATTTTCTTTTTAAAGAGAGAGTTTGAAGACCAATATTTGGGACATAAATTCATTGCTTAACCATGCACTTCTCAAGTGGACCCATATTTTCTATCATCCCTAGCAAGGAAAGTCCCTGGTGGCCAAGGCCTCAATGCAGATGGGGATGAAGTCCCATAAATTGGCTTCAGATTTAAGGATAAGTTTTTAAGTACTATACTGGATAAGGATGCTTTTCTAAATGGGCAGAAGTCAATGGGATTAAAAACTCACTTAATTTCAGTATTTGTGTAAGTGCCTTGTTGAATCAGGTTTGGATGTCTACCCCAGGTTTTCTGTATTGACCGTCAGTGTTTTATAGTCTAAATCCTTGTTCCATCATTCCTTTTTGAGCAGGGTCTTGTTCCAGTAGGCTTGCTGGAGTTTCAGGAAAGGGGAAGATATTTAACCTCTTGTGTTCCTCAAACCCTGAGGGTTTAGTGATGAAGCCATTAATCTATAGGTGGGTAGAAATGGGGGAAGAACTCAGATTTCGGAGTAAGCAATGTTCACTGAGTTTAGAGGTGAAGTGAGAGGCTGCTTCAAATTTTGGAGCAAGAAATCAAATTTGCTTTCAACCTAACAGCATTGTTCCCATTCATGTCACCATAAATCCTGCTGTGTGCTAGTGGCAACATATGGCCTTTGATTTGCATGTGACTATTTGCTGTAGGTTGTTTGTTAAAACAAATTTCAAGCATTTAAAAACCCCCCACACTGATTCATAGAATTATAGGGTTACCTTAGGGATTACCTAGTCCAATCCCACTCTCCACTCTTCAGAGTTTCAGCTGGTGCATGTAAATCTGCCTCATAATGTACATTCCTGATTTTTTTTTCATCTAAGCGTTTTGAATAGAGAGATGGTCCAATGCATTTCTCTACCAAGATGGTATCATTTTCTGTCCTACCATAGATGCTCACACATGTCTGGAATTTCCAGTGATGTCAATGGAGGAAGTTTAAACTTTTAAAGTTAGAACTGAAAGGTTTCTTTAGGAACTTGTTTAGTAAAATCAGCAATTATCTGTCTCACAGGCAGACAAAACCTATGGCCA